TGTGTGTGTGTGTGTGTGTGTGTGTGTGTGTGTGTGTGTGTGTGTGTGTGTGTGTGCGCGCGTGCGTGTGTGCGTGTGTGTGTGTATGTGTGTTTATTTCGTGTACGTTACGTTTGTTGTGTTTGTTTACTTTTGCAAGTAAGAGCTACTTGCTGTGGCGTGGGCGGGGATGTGGATGTGGACTATAGGCCTACACAGGCGGGGGTAAAAACATTTTTATAACTAGAGCACTCGAAAAGCGCAGACCTCCGCCAAGCCAGCTCAATTCTGTCACTGCGAAAAATTTTATTAATTAATTAATTAACCCTTTAGTTACCCTATTTCTGACCTATCCTGAAAATTTAATTAATTAATTAATTAATTAATTAATTGAATCCGGATCACCACCAAAATCTAATCAATTCTAAGTTAGCCCATTTCTGACAATAGCAAATTTTATGACAATCCGTCCATAACTTTTTCAGTTAGGCTGTACACAAACAAACCCACAAACCCACAAACACACGCCGAACAAACACACGCCAGTGAAAACATAACCTCTTGCCAACCCCTTGGCGGAGGTAATAATCACAGCTGCGGCCTTTCTGTTGGGGCTCAGACCGCAACGCTTTTACCCCGAAGCTCACCATCAAGTGCGTTAACCAATATAGAATCAGAGCATAACTACATGCGTGGGTGTAAATACACAACATGTTCTGCTAGCATCTATGACAAATACGACATACGCATATACGCTCTCCTATGACACTATTTGTCACAGGAAGATTCTTCCGATGACAAATATTGGCGAGTCAACTTCGTTCCGCTTTACAGCTGAAATGCACTGCTTGCGTTCCTGATAGCCCTCCTAAACTCCTATGATGCGCACAACACATACAACAATATTTGTCATAGAAAGAATCTTAATTCCTATGACAAATAGTGTCATAGGAGAGCGTATATATGCGTATGTCGTATTTGTCATAGATGCTAGCAGAACAGGCTGAAATAGGCCTACAATTAAGCTGCGATTCGGGTGTTTCGTATGTTATCGATACGGGGCTGAGAATTTATCGTCATCGTCGCACTCGCCACTCTCGCCGCTAGCACGACTCCGATTGTGATTGTTATCAACAGCGTCATTGTGTGATGTGTGATACATGTTCGCACATCGTTGTTTAATTGATTACCTATCTATAATATATTATATATAATAGATGATGATATTATATATAAAGGCTGTATATATTATTTTATATAGTTTTCTGCTAGCGCAGGACAGTGCTAATACGCGGGTAGCGTCTACGGAGAAAAACTTAATGTTAGGAGCTTAATGTATTTATATGAATCTATTTTGTTTGGCATGAGCAACGGGCCCCTGATAAAATAAATAATATATATTATAGTATATTATTATATATATAATATATATACAACATCATATTATAGTTTTACACCGCGGAGTACAATACATAAAGTATTATTTTAAAGTTTACTTAAACATACTACTCGTTAGCATAAATCAAGGCAGCCGCACGTCATAGAGTCATCGAGACATTATATATAATTAGTTTATAATAAATAAGTATAATAGTAACCTAAAATATAATTATAATAGTTCGCGCGCGGTGAGCCTACTTACTGCGTGCTCCGGTTGTTGTCGAATCTTTCGCAGTGGGCGGCGGCCACTGGTGGCGTCTGTTCGGTCCTTGGGTCTGGAGGGTGGGATTTCGCTCAGGT